CCCCTTCACTCAAACACAAATACTTCACACATATCCACATTTAAAAGTGAACATTACATTTAGACACACCCCTGCAATCAAACGCAAACATTACATACAAACACTCCCCTGTATTAAATCACAATAAATGCATACTGTAACGGATCACCTGGCACCCCGACTGGGTACCTCCGTTGAAAGATGCTCCTAGCGCTTCCAGAGGACTCCAAGCACTCCACCAGACACCATAAGCACCGCAGGCTGCAGCTATCTCCCTTCAGAACGAAGCAGGAACAAGCTCTTACAAGAGCTCAGTGATTATAGCAAGGGAATATGCCTAGCATAGCAATCCCTTGTAGCAGATTCCCCCAATAAGAGACAGGACTCAAGTTGAGGGTAAAAATAGAACTCTCTGGCTGCTAGCTTGCAGCCCTTTTTATTAGGTGCTCCCATGAAGGGGAGGGACACACACAGTAACGTACATTAACCAATCACACAATAGTTACATCCCACACATAGCCCTCCCCTCTACCTGTAAACTAATTATCTGTACACACAGGAAAATACAATTATCATAGGTAGGGAAAATACAGTTTTTACACAACATTCATAACTCCCAAAATATACATCACATTCGCATAAAAATACATATTCACAATCAATCCATTCAGGGGAACAACATATTAAAAATGGCATGAATCAGACCAGGGGTTCAAAAGTTAGTAAAAGTATCTTTTGTTCCCCCTGGCTCAAACAGTAAAAGTAAAACATCCCCACAATGCATCCTGGCTTCCTCCCTTCTGCCCTGGAGATAATTGGAGAAGGAATCTAATTATCTCCAAAGACAGAGCCAAACTCCATTACCCACATGGCAGACAAAAAGACAGTAAAAGACATAAAATTACATACTGACACATTTAGTACATAAAACACACATTTCTACATATCCCCAGATAGCTTGGATCTGACTGCACATTATTAGATGAATGGCACTCAGATCACACGAATAAGCCTTTCTGCAGGGAAAATAAACAGTTTAACCTGCAGGGCCATAGTCCAAAGGCAAGAGGCGGGCAAGCAGCCCCCTCCAAGGACACGTGGCGAGGTCGGTTTTGCCACACATACAAGCATCCCTTCAAACACCAACACTGTACATTACACTATAGCACCAGTAAATGCCACAGTGCTGTACAAATATAGGACCAACAAATTTTGACTTGGGGTGTCTTGGAAAAATACTGAAATATTAAGGGCACCTTGAACCTAAAAAGTTTGGGAACCACTGCTCTAACCCAAAATTGGGATTATCTCCTGTCTACATTTTCCCTCTGCTCCCATTATTTCTGATGGTACTGAAGAAGATTTAAATCTAAAAAGCAGAAATCATTGCACAAGGGATATCCCAGGAACCTCCCAGGGAACTACCAGCCCAGCCAAATCTACTGACGCAGGGCCCATTACTATATCCAGATCCACAGTGTTTAGCTGTAATTTTCCTCTTACTAATTTACTGTACCCACACATATTATATACTGTTCTTCTCACCATTAAATGGTCTTTCTAAAAATATCATTATTTTCATCATATCATTTAATTTACTATAAAAACTGATATGGATTAATGAGCACCTTTCCCCTTATATCCTGTGTCACACTACACAGTAGATTTAGTAATGTCAGGATGCTCTATTATAACAGCTGGCCTTTGATCCTGATTTGTATCTTCTTCTTGTTTCCCCCCCTGCACTGCATATCCTGATAACACCTTGTTGGGAAGTGTTTGTGTAATCGAGTAACACCTTTTGACCAGCTAATGCCAAATGTGCTTTAAGTTCTTTGAATATGCAATTGACAGGACATGACTGTATTATGTGAAGACAACCCCTTTTTGGATGTGTATAGAATTTTGTTATAAGATCTGTGTTCTCCACATTAAAATTAGGTGTAGTATTCTGCCATACACTTGTGTGAATGAGTACTGCCCTCCGAGCTCGTATTTCTGCTGTGTCCATTCCTTGTCTTCATACCTGAGAGAAAACATTGCTGTCTGCTGAATTTAAACCACAACAATATGGTGTCAGAAGTGGAGAGAGAATCCAAATCGGGTAAGAACATTTTGTGTTTTATTTTTGTGTTCTTTGCCCTGTTTGGATTCTCTGAACAAAATTTTGTGGTCGCAGAAAAGTAATGTTTTCTTGTTTTTGTTTTGCCTTTCTTTTTGTTTTTGTTATAAGTTTGGGTTAGAGTCCCATGATAAGTATGGGTTAGAGTCCCATGATAAGTTGGGTTAGAGTCCCATGTTAAGTCCCATGTTAAGGGGTTAGAGTCCCATGTTAAGTTTGGGTTAGAGTCCCATGTTAAGTTTGGGTTAGAGTCCCATGTTAAGTTTGGGTTAGAGTCCCATGTTAAGTTTGGGTTAGAGTCCCATGTTAAGTTTGGGTTAGAGTCCCATATTAAGTTTGGGTTAGAGTCCCATGATAAATATGGGTTAGAGTCCCATGATAAGTATGGGTTAGAGTCCCATGATAAGTATGGGTTAGAGTCCCATGATAAGTATGGGTTAGAGTCCCATGTTAAGTTTGGGTTAGAGTCCCATGATAAGTTTGGGTTAGAGTCCCATGATAAGTATGGGTTAGAGTCCCATGTTAAGTTTGGGTTAGAGTCCCATGTTAAGTTGTATAAGAAAAAATCTATATTTTATGGGTTAGAGTCCCATCTTGTCGGTAAGTTGTATATAGTGGGTATAGCAGTCCCACTGAGTGACCACATTTAGTCACTGTATTGAATGCACAGTTTGGACACAGTAGAATAAATCTTATTTTTGTTTATTGCAGCGCTGCATGTATAGTTGTATTGTTTAAAAAAAGTGTGCATTGCTTATATATAAAGTGTTATATATTGTAAAGTGTTATCTGTGTGAAGTTGGAAATGGGCTCCAGTAATGGTAAAAAAAATAATTTCCCAACAAAATTCTGTAAAATTTAAATCATCTAAAGATGTCCCTAATAGTGCTGCGTCACGTACTCCCCAAGTCAAATCTCAGGGTCCTCGATTAGGCCAAACTCCATGCCATTTTGTTCAAGAAACTATTGGAAATTACTATGCTGAACCATTTTGTACAAATTTAGTTGCATGATCAGAAAATTTTGATACAATGATTTGTAATTCATGGCCAAGAGAGGGTTCTTTTAGTGATTTTCATTTGCAAATGCTGAAAGGTATGTGTATTAAAGGTTTTAAAAAGTGGGGTCCAGGTGGAGATCCAAAATGGGATAAAAAGTATATGCATAATGCAGCTACAGGATGGTTAACGTGTGCTCAGTTATAGTTTGTCCCTGATCAGACTACAAAGTATGTTCAGGCTTCTGCAGCATCACCTGCTTATGTGCTTTTTGTTGTACCATTATATCCCAGTTTGGATGAATTAAAAAAAAGATTTTTTGGAATATTGATACTGATGAAATTTTTATGGCGATTGGTAGAGGGAAAAAGCATGTTGGATAGATGGTTGTGAATCCTTCTGCAATGGTGAGATCCACTGCAGAAAATGTTGAGGTTGGTATGAAAAATGAGAAAGTGACTAGAAAGTCTGTGGATGTTGGTGCAGGGAATAAGCATGTTGATAGTGTTTTAGTGGTGGATGAGGGTGATAAGAGTCATGGTGTACTAGTTCCCAGTCATGTGTCTGCTTCTGCCTATCCTTTTGTAGTTGCTGGTGAGACTGTTATAATTAAGCCTCCCTATGGATCACATTTGGTGTCTCTTAGGACTCAGTGTCCTGATCCGTTTAAGCTTCCAGAAGGCGCTATTCATTATTTAAAAAGAGTAACAATGGATCAATAGTTTGGAGGGGCAGATTTTTGTTTTTTTATTGTCTGTTGTTTTTAAATATGCTGATATTTCACCAACAGAAATGGCTCTTAATTTGGACACTAAACATGATAGACCTGGTACTGATGTGGTTCTGTGTATTTTGGGCTGAGCAAGATTTTGTGTCAGAGTTTTGAAATCAGTTATTGGTTTATTTTCCTTTGTGGTTTTGCAGTTGTACAAATACCTAATAGTGTAATAACTGCAGGTTCTTAACCTTTTGTCTCAGCGCAGGCGGAGTTGATTGCTCTTACACAAGCTTGTATTGCTTTTCAAGATCAAGATGTGACTATTTATACTGATTCGAGATATGCCTTTGGAGTGGTTCATTATTTTGGTGTCATTTGGCAGGCTAGAGGTTTTGTTGCAGCTGATGGTCGAACTGTTTCTCATTTTGCATTAATTGATGGATTATTGAGGGCCATACTGTTACCTAAATCTTTAGCTATTGTGAAGTGCAAGGGCCATGATACAGATCACTCCATGGTCAGGGATGGTAATGATTTTGCAGATTTGGTGGCGAAAAGGGCAGCTGCCTCTTTTCCTTTATGGGCAGATTACAGTACTGTTTCTTTTGACCAGGTCTTAACTGCATATAGCCACTCATACTGATGATACTGATGATACTGATATTCTTTCTATGCAGGCTGCATCATCTTCGATAGCTTAGCTCACTGGAGTAAACATTCTGTTACACCTGATGCAAATTCTGGTATCCTCAAGGTCGCATAGCAATCCCTCAAGCTTCTTCTGTGTTACTCGTCCGACAGTTCCATGGCTATGGACATGTCGGACGAAGAGGGGTATTGGCTATTCTAAAAGAACGATTTGTAATTAACAGGTTAGATCAGACCGTTACCAATATTTTGTCCAGGTGCTTAACATGTGCAAGAGTTAATACTACCAAGCCACAGTTTGGTAAACATGACCACCTTTCTGCAGCGGAAGGCCCAATGTTAAATTTACAAATAGACTTCACGCATATGCCAACGGCAAAAGGTGGACTCAAGTATTTACTTGTTATAGTAGACACATTCTCAAAATGGGTGGAGGCCTATGCATGTGTACGCGAAAATGCCCGCACGGTAAGCAAAATATTGTGTAAAGAAATTATACCACGTTTCGGCTGCCCAGTTATGATTAATAGTGATAAAGGAACTCCTTTCGCTTCAGCAGTTACACAGCAGGTTTGTAAAATGTTGAGTATAGATTGGAAATTTCATATACCCTATCACCCTCAGTCATCAGGGCAAGTAGAAAAGATGAATAGAACGATCAAGGAGAAATTGACAAAAGGAGGCTTGGGTAGCACACGCAATTGGCCAGACAATTTGCCAGCAGTTTTAGCTGAGATCAGAATGACCCCTAGTTCCACTACGGGTTATTCACCATTTGAAATTTTAATGGGGAGACCTTTTCCAACTACATGATGTAAGTCCAAAGGTGCTTCAATGGTGAGCGGAGATCTAAATGTTGTGTTATGTATTGAACCTTGTAGACACATTGAATGGCATCTATGGTGATTTGTCTCTATCTCTTCCTCATCCTTCAGGTACTACCACACATCCTTTCAGGCCTGGAGACCAAGTCTTGGTGAAGACCTTCTTCAAATCCGGAACCTTTGATCCACCATACAGACCTCTCACAACCGTTGTTGCCATCACCAGAAGAGCCGTTCTGACCGAGGAGAACCAGATATGGAATCATGCAAGCAGATTAAAAAGATGTCACATCAAGCACTCTGGATATTCCAAGCAAAGAACGTTCAACCTCAGACTGATCCAGAATGAACAATAGTGCTCGGTGCACCCTAATTATTATTTTTTCCATGGGACTTGGTTATGTGCGGATTAATATTATTTGATCCCAAAGAACAGTGATAGTAAAATATGTTATTAATATATTTCACTCTAAGCAGGCTTTATCTTCTTCATCATGGGAAACAGACAATCATTTTATTGGATCTGTAAAGAATTTATACCAAGCCCTAAATTTAAATAATTGTTTAATAAACCTTAATTCGTCCAGGAGGGAGGGACGGTCTTATTATAGCCATGGCTCCCCGGAGATTTTCTTCAGAAATAACGGTTCTGAAGTTTTTTTTCTTCCCTGAGTGCTATAATAGACAATTAATTAATTTACTGATTTGTTATTCTTTCAGAATAAAAGATTGGAATGATATGGATTAATGAGCACCTTTCCCCTTATATCCTGTGTCACACTACACAGTAGATTTAGTAATGTCAGGATGCTCTATTATAACAGCTGGCCTTTGATCCTGATTTGTATCTTCTTCTTGTTTCCCCCCCTGCACTGCATATCCTGATAACACCTTGTTGGGAAGTGTTTGTGTAATTAGTAACACCTTTTGACCAGCTAATGCCAAATGTGCTTTAAGTTCTTTTAATATGCAATTGACAGGACATGACTGTATTATGTGAAGACAACCCCTTTTTGGATGTGTACAGAATTTTGTTATAAGATCTGTGTCTTCCCCATTAAAATTAGGTGTAGTATTCTGCCATACACTTGTGTGAATGAGTACTGCCCTCCGAGCTCGTATTTCTGCTGTGTCCATTCCTTGTCTTCATACCTGAGAGAAAACATTGCTGTCTGCTGAATTTAAACCACAACAAAAACAATTATAAAATATGATGAAAAAATGTAAAAAAAACCCACTTTTTTGAACTTTGACCCTCACACCCATGCTAAATACAGTCAGGTCCATAAATATTGGGACATCGACACAATTCTAATCTTTTTGGCTCTATACACCAACACAATGGGTTTGAAATGAACAAACAATGGGTTTGAAATGAACAAACAAGATGTGCTTTAACTGCAGACTTTCAGCTTTAATTTGAGGGTATTTACGTCCAAATCAGGTGAACGGTGTAGGAATTACAACAGTTTGTATATGTGCCTCCCGTGAGTGCTGCCATTTCTACTACCATTTGGATATTAAAGTCTGAGGCTGAGCACCCGGAAGTATATGTATTATAGCCTGAGTGCAAGGATTTTTCACAGTATATACATACATATATATGCACACACACATATAATACATTTAATACGTGTGTGTATATAGTACGTCCACGGTCATTAAGGGGATATACATAGATATATATATATATATATATTATATATATATATATATATATATTATTTCATTCTAAGTGTATTTTGATATATATATATATATATATATATTAATATCAAAATACAGTTAGAATAAAATTACATATATATAATTTTTTTGAAATTATTTTTAGTTTTTTATTTATTTTTAATTATTATTTATTTTTTATTAGATATATATATACACACAATATATATAGCTATTATATATATTGTGTATATATATTTATATATATATATATATATATATGTGTGTAATTTTACTCTGTGTATTTTTATATCAATGTATATATTAATAAAAATACACTTAGTATGACGTATAGATATAGATATAATATATGTATATATATATATATATATTTCATATATACATATATATATTTTTTTTATTGCCTTTTATTTTTTTTAACTTTTTTTCACCAGCAGGGGGACTGCCCCTGCTGGCAGCACTGTGGACACCTATTGCAGCCATGTGATCGCTCTTTTAGAGCGGTCACATGGCCCCTGTGGGTCCTAAATTGCAGAGGGGGGACTGTCTGGGCCCACTAAGAAGAAGACGGATTGCCGGCGGGGGAACGGCAGCAATATGTTATATGTTAGTAATTTTAAGCAGCATAAACCTAAATAAAATATAGTCTTATGCGATTTGATGTTTCTAACTGACACACAGATGAATTGTAATATATATATATATATATATATATATATATATTATAAATATGGTGAGCCACCCAACAAGAAAGATATTATAAGTAGGATTTTGTTTCTACACCCTTCTATCGTTTGGAACCTGTTCCTTCATCCATTGATTCTCAGAAGGTACCAAAAGTGTTCTCGAAATTCTCTACATAATTTTTACTTCCCCCAGAGATTTCCACTGATTTTAAATACAATGACGAGGTTTCCCTGCATGTCCTTAAAATCTGTTCTTTCATCCATACAGTATCAAAAGGTATACATTCGGTGGCTTTGACATCTTCCAGGAGCAAGTGCAAAACTCAGCCTTATCCTGGGAACCTTTTTCTACCATCTTCTCTCAGAATAAAGTGGGCCAAATTCTGACCAGTGCCAGTATTTTTACCAAAAGTGGTCTCAAAATTCCACCATAACAAATAATTGACTTTGCCTGTTTGCTTTCCTTCACCTTCATCGTAGAAGAACAAGCATGGCATACATTAGATTTGGTACGTGTCCTAGTGGTGCTTTTTATCTTATTGCAGCATCATTGCCAACTTTAAGACCATGGATTTTATTTGTTATTTCAAAAGCAAATAAAATCTTCCTGTATCAGATGGTTTAAAATCATGTATAAATTGTTCAGTTTCAGCTTCCTGGGCTATTATGGCCAAATGCTTCAGCAGAAGGCATATGTAATACAGGTTTGTATTCCTAAAGTTATATTGTTCCTTTAAATACAATTTAATATTGTTCTGTACTGCTGAACTGGACAATTTTATTTAAACAAGTAAAAAGAAGAAGTTAGAATGTCAACTCTGCATTTCAGAAATCACAGACACTTTCTTTGGGGAGGAGAGGAAAGTATTAATTCAAAAAGGTTAATCACATTAAAAATGCCCTGAGAGGACATAATGCTTGGAATTATTGTATTAAATGAATGCACTTCACTGAATTTCAATAAAGGCAAGCTATATTTGGGAACAATAGGACTGCATAGATTGCTTCTCTTTTTCCATGGACACAGAAAAGGAAGCATGGCTGATGGATAAATAGAGACAGAGCTGACCTGATTAGGAATTTGCGTTGCCCTTTCATCATTATGAATAAAGAAAATATTTAGTATGGAGATATATTTTTTACACTGTTGAGACTCGGGTGAGTATTTAAGAAACCTATCCGTAATCACACCAGTAAGCTTTACCCTAACAAGTGTTTAAAAATAAACACTTTTTGTCATGGAAATAAATATGCATGCAAGATGTGTGGCCTTTTCTATATAGATGGCAATACAAGAATGTGACAGAAATAAAGTACATAAACTATTTTTTTTTTCCAGTTTTAACAAACTGTTGCAAAAAAATTATATATACATGAACTTGAGGCACTTTTTGAACCTAATTTACTATATTACTATTAGGATACTATAATTAAGATTATTAAAAACAAATCACGTCCATGTTATGGCTATGGAAGTTATGGTACACAGTAGATGATTAACAATACACACTAGTTGAAAAGAAAAGACAAGTCAAATTAAATGACTTTCCCATTCGAGGAAGAAATGATGTACCGAGAAGAACAGTCATATTCCTTTAATGTTTCAACTGCGAGGCTTCACAGAACCAAGGAGGAATTGTATCTTGTTTTCATAGGATCCATAGGAATGCAAACTCTGAGTAATGTAACAAATGAAATGCAACAAGTATCCAGAATGAGGGACAACATATCTGGAGTATATTAGAAAGAAAATCTTTGTGTTTGCAATTAAACATAGAAACAAGCATTCACACTAGCCAGTCTTCAGTAGTATGTCTGAAATCCAATTAACCAGAAACAAAATCAAAATCTGTTATAAGCATGAATCCGTAATACAAATGTCAAGGTCAATCAATGGATCACGGAAGAAGAGAAGCTTTATATGTGGTACTATTGAAGGCCTCCTTAGATGGCCATTGGAGTCAGTATCCTGGAAAGCAAGTGTATTAGTGCTACAATCAGGGCCATCTCTAATAATGATTGGTCCCTGGGCAAGCAAGTGTTTGTGACTAGGTGGCTACTAAAAAAGACTGGACATACCCCATATTGAATACCCTGGGTTGTCTACTTTAAAACAAATATGTACATGTGAGGTGTGATTCTGGGATTTATGACAGATAACGGTGTTACAATGTCACTATTGATAAATTTAAAATATATATATATATATATATATATATATATATTGAAACAGCAATTTCCTACTTGTATTTACAGGCCTATAACTTGCAAAAAAAAGCAATAAAGCATGTAAACATTGGGTGTTTTTAAACTCGGGACACAATTTTGAATCTATTTAGCAGTTTTTTTCATTAGCTTTTGTAGATAAGTACAATATTTTTCAAGTAAAACTCCAAAAACATTTATTTATTTTTTTAAATAAAATATATGACATGATACAAATAATGGTATGTAAAGAAAGCCCTTCTTGTCCTGAAAAAAAACAATATATAACTTGTATGGGAACCGTAAATGAGAGAGAGGAAAATTACAGCTAAACACAAACACCACAAAAGTGTCAAAACTGCTCTGGTCATTAACGTACAACATCGCAAAAACAGGCCTGTCCTTAAGGGGTTAAATGTAGGGGTGTGTTTAGATATAATTTTGGTGTTTAACAGAGAGGTGTGTTTGTATGTAGCGTTGAAATTTTAATGCAAGGGGTGTGTTTGTATGTAATGCTGAAGTTTGAATAGAGGGGTGTATTTGTATTTAATGTTGGTGTTCAGATGCACAGGTACACACTGACTACATATAGATAAACACACAGATATCTATGGCAGCCCCATAAGTCATTGTGCTATGTAGTGTGTGTTATATAACACACACTACATAGCATATATATACACACACACACACACATATCTATATATACACCGACATTTATATATATATATATATATATATATATATATATATATATGTAAATTATTGGAATATTTCTT